TGATATCTATCCTCTTGTGTAGCAGTGAGTCATTGACAATCTCCTCAAAGATGAAGAACAGACTTGAGGCAATAGAAATATAGTTCTACAGAAGGATGCTGAGTATAACGAACATTTGAGCAACGACAATGTTTTAAAGAAAATTTAAAGGAAACTGATACTTAAGATCAGACAGAAATAGTTAAATATTTTTAGGGAACATAATGAGGAAAGAGGGCATGGAAAATTGGATACTCACAAGACAGAGTGAAGGCAAGGGAGACAGGAGAAAACAACTCATAACATTGTTGTAGCATACCTATGGATGATAATGGGTATCTCCCTATTCATATAAATATAGTAGTAAATACTGTATGTTGGTCTGCAGTTGGAGATTAATTGTAGAATTCACTTGATTCACTTCTAGCAGTTGACTACTTCTTCTATGCAACACTGATGATTCTTATATGTGTTGTTCTTGTCCTAAGTATTATCGTGTATTACCAACCTTCGTTTGATTATTCTATTCAGTAACCTTCCCTAGGTTACAGCAGCGGCAAAGCTTTTTAGTAATTATTAGTCTGTATTTCATCATCATTAATATAACCTTTTATAGTCATACAGATTTTTTTTTTTATCACTCCATCCCAAACAAGGTGATAATACCGTTAGGATACTGAGGATTACAGATTGGTATTCTAGTGAGTAATAAAGAATATTCTTACTGATGAAGAAGAGGCTCATGTCAACAGAGATGTGATTTTACAGGTGGATGTAGAGAATAGAATGGACAGAACACGGGAAGAAGTTCTAAAGCAAATTGGACATATTTTGAGGAAGGATGGTGTTGTGGCATATGTACGGACGATAATGGGTATGTCCCCATTCACATAAATACAGTAGTAAATACTGTATGTTGGTCTGGAGCTTCTTTGTAGAATTCACTTGATTCACTTCTAGCAGTTGATTACTTCTTCTATCTTATAAATCTTGTTCTTGTTCTAAGTATTATCATTCATTACTAACCTTCGTGTGATTATTCTATTCAGTAATCTTCCCTACGTTACAACACTTAGTAAGCTTGAGCAAATGGATGGCAGAATAGGATTTGCAAGAAATAACATGAAATTTATTATGAGCTACAAAGAATAGAAATTGTGGAGAGCCATGATTGCCAAGGTCCCTAGGGAAGCTGGCATATAAAGAAGTTTTAATGTTCTTCCTGTATTAATTTTAAAAGCAATGCAAACTCTGGGTGCTGTTGCAGGGCACAGTTCCTTCCCATAGAATTCTGTTTTTTTGGTTAGTATTTCTAAAAATAGCTCCAAGACAAGGCGTTTACAGGATGCTGGCTTGCGAACTTCATTCTACACAAAGCTGAAAATCAAAGCGTGTCTTGTGTCATTTTTCTTTACTTTTCTCCTTTGAAATATTGTTTGTCGTTTTGAATGTCTAACTAGCTCAAAATTTAATAGTTTAGGCCTTAATTGATTTATTTCAGCTTGAAGAATGTGTTTTCATTTTTTTTTTTTCTCTGGGATCCACATATGGGGCTTGGAATGGGAATCTGTAATTTTTTTTAACTTGGTATTTTTAACAAGATCTGAGGAGAAGGGCGATGCTCTAAGCATCTCCTTTTAAAAAGAAAAGTTCTAACAGCATGACTTGATGATGAGATATTGATTTTCAGTGCCTGTTATAATTGGTGTCGTATGCAGGATAGTATATTTTAAGCTGAAAAACATCAGAGATATTTCTGAATATACACTGATACTTGTGTAACTTTATAATTTGTCAGGTGTCATTTTATAATTTGTTGGGTGTAACTTTATAATTGATTTGGTGTCATTTTATAATTGATTGAATGTCATTTTATAATTGATTGGATATCATTTTATAATTGGGTGTAATTTTATGATTGATTTGGTGTCATTTTATAATTTGTTGGGTGTAACTTTATAATTGATTGGATATCATTTTATAATTGTTTGGGTGTAATTTTAGAATTGATTGGGTGTAGCTTTATGATTGGTTCAGGGTAATTTTATAATTGATTTGGTGTCATTTTATAATTAATTGGTTGTAACTTTATAATTGGTTGGGTGTAATTTTATAATTGCTTAGATGTCATTTTATAATTGTTTGGATGTCATTTCATAATTGGTGGGGTGTCTTTTTATAATTTTTGGGGTGTAATTTTTAACATCAGATAAGAGTATGAGCCTAAATTTTCCATCTGTAAAATATAAAAATATTTATTCCCTTCTTGACTGTCAAATTAATATTGGCCAAGTCGAGAGGAGGCAGCATCAGGTCTTTCTTCCAAAGTTCTTATGAGGAAATAAGGAATTCTGCCACTCCCACTTTGTAAGATGGGCATTTTTATAACTTCCTGTCATTTCGTTGTCTCTTGAGTGTGTATATCCTAAGTTCAGCTGGGTTCACTTCCTTGTCCATGTTGGTGCACTCACTGACATCATCATCTGAGGCCCAACTCTGCACTTGGTGACTTTGAGGTTATCGTCTAGGTCAACTCTTGGAGCAGCCCTAGACCTCTTGAATATCTGAGGTGATGCCAAGTATAAAACTGTCTTTCATATCGTTTAGGAAAATTCAGAAGATATTGGCATTACCACAGATCAACTCTTAGATCAGGGTTGTTGACTGATGTGATTTTTTATATATATATATATAATATTAGTGGTCAATGTATGTATGTATATATATATATATATATATATATATATCAATGTATATATATAATATTAGTGGTCAATGTATATATATATATATATATATATAATATTAGTCAATCAATATATATATATATATATATATATATAATATTAGTGGTCAATGTATATATATATATATATATATAATATTAGTGGTCAATGTATATATATATATAGATAATATTAGTCGTCAATGATGTATGTGTATATATATATATAGATAATATTAGTCGTCAATGATGTATGTGTATATATATATATATAGATAATATTAGTGGTCAATATATATCTATATATTATGAAATGGACAAAGTCCAACAATTATTTTTAAGACACTTTTATGTTTATACATTGTTTTTATAGATACAAATATTTAAGTAAATGCTCTGTTTATAATAAACAGTATTAAACAACATTTACTGGCCTGAATGTCTGAGAAATTTTCACAGAAAATATTCGTCCTCCGACAGTCATTATCTATCTATTTTTTTTTTATTGTTCTTGCTGAGTAACTTTTGTCTTTGTGGCTATATTCCTTGCGTGAAATTATTAAATATATATATATATATATATAAATGACCACTCATATTCCAGGATGCCAATCTACTAGAACAGCAAGCTATTCCCTGTTGATGATGCCTGCTCAGGAACATTTTTGTTTGTTCAGTAACCACAGTGCACATTTATGATTTATACTGCAACTATGCTGAGCAGACATAGTTAGAGTTTCTGGAAGAGAATGCATTTTTAAGCATGAACAACAGTTTCAACAAAGACAGCACACTCAAGCCCTCAATCACGATGACTTGTGACTTTGTGCAAACACAAATGCATTGTTATTTATTGCATTCTTGATTCCTTTTCTTTTATTGTTCTTGCTCAATAACCATTTGAGTCTTAGTGGCTTTATTGACTTGCTTGGGGTGAAATGATTACATATATATATATATATATATATATATATATATATATATATATCATTTTGCAGTCAGTACTGTTTCACAATAGTGTGACTAGACATCCGAATGCCGGAAGCCTGGATTGAAACCCAACTTCTACCACTGAGCTATCTTCACTTGGCAGAGTTACACAGCTAAATCTAAACAAATGTCAATCAGCCAGAGTGCTCCAATTCATTTTACTGAAGAGCTTTTGCATTAGCAAAGGTGGCTGTTGTTTATAGAATTAGCCTATCACTCAACAGTGCTCAATTGAAATATATTTTCAAGAGCTAAATATATATATATATACCAACACACAGAGACATCCAATGCAAATGTAATTTTTTCTCAGTTTTTTTTTTTACTTAGAGAGTTGACAAAAGAGCTTTTAACCTTCTCAGAAGCTGCATATTTTATTGCAATTGATGTTGTTATTTTTCTTCTTCTTGTTCTTTTCCTATGTGTATTGTTCCTGTATTCTGTCTAACAGTCATTCATTTGTAACAAAATTTTAAAATCGTGTTTTTGACAGCATTGTTTATTTATCCATTTGACAGTTGAGCGCATGTCATCTTCATCCTAACAATCTCAAGACATGACTCTGAATACACCTGTTCTACTCTCCATCACTTCAATTCTTTCATCAGTCTGACATTGGGATTTTCACTTCTGACATCTGCATGACTCCACTCCTAATTGTAGGTGGGTTCTGGCCACCAGGTAATGCACAATACATTCATTGCAGTCCATAGAATTATTATTACTTATGGATTCTAATGAGAGCATTGATTTCTCCAATCTACAATCAGCTTCTAAAATCTCTTTGAATGAATTGAACTACTATCTACTATATAGAAGGGATTAATGCCAACTCTGAATTAGTTAATTTTTCATCTTTTTTTTCTTTAAATTATTTCATATTTAATATTAAAATCAAATTAGATTTAATTAAACTGGATCTTTTGATAATGATTTATTTAATAAAGAGATAAGACAGTTTAAATAGGTTTTTGGGGGTAGGGGCGAGGGTTACAGTAAGGTTCACTCTTTACAAAGTCTGGATGTGAGTTATGTTAGGAGGCAATTTGATTGATTGATTTGGTTTTTTTTTATGGCTATGAAACTTTGGCAAGTTATTTAAAGCCAGAAAATATTTTTATATTCTAAGAATTTTTTTTTTTCAGCTACTAATGATTTATTGATAAAAGTCCTGTTAATTAACCCCTTATACCTTTCCCAAGGGTATTTGCATGAAAGTGACTGTAATGAACCTAAATGGAATTGAAACTTGACGGTCTGATCCCCAATTTCTAGCCGTTATCCATGACACCACCTGCAACTCCAGGCTTACAGCACCGAGTATTCCCAAGCGGTCACCCATCTATGTACTGACCAGGCACAACGTTGATTAATTTCACTGGTTGCACGAGAACAGGTGATATGGCCCTGAACCACCACCAGACTGTTAGGCTGAAAAACAAAAATAATAGTAATAATGAAGAGTGTTGGGATAAAAAGCAACAATAATAAGATGGAATCAAACTAGTAATAAAATAATAGTAATAATGAATATTTATTAGAGCCACAGTGTTGGGATAAAAAAAGCAACAATAATAAGATGGAATCAAACTAGTAATAAAATAATAGTAATAATGAAAACTATGTATAGAGCCAGAGTGTTGGGATAAAAAAAAGCAACAATAATAAAGATGGAATCAAACTAGTAATAAAATAATAGTAATAATGAAGAGTGTATAGAGCCAGAGTGTTGGGATAAAAAGCAACGATAGTACATATATATATATATATGTAAGCAAATATATGGATGAAGAAAAATATATGGAAAAAACAAACAAAAATCCTAATATGCAATTAGGCTGTTTTAATGTTAATATAATAATGGAAACAGAACGCCGATCTTGAAAAATTTAAGTTATCTGTTTTGATTAGTCTTGATCTTGTGTCCATCGTCTTTTTCATGTTGAATTAAATATAGTCTAATGTTAATTATGTTTTATGAATATGTCCTGAAGATGGTCTACTAGACCGAAATGTCCGACGTTGATATTATATTAACATTAAAACAGCATAATTGCACTTTAAGGGTTTTGTTTGGTTTTTCTGTATATTTTTACCATATATATATATATATATATATATATATATATATATATATATATATATATATAGGTTTTTTTAATTTGATGTATAATAGTATCTAAAATAAAAGTGAATATGGTACTCTCTGATGAAATGCATTGTTAATAAATTTTGCTTTGTCTCATCATATATATATATATATATATATATATATATATATATATATATATATACATTTATTTACATTATATGTAAATTTTCTTATTTTTTCAGATTATTTTCAATTTTTATACCATAGTAGCGGATGTTTGCATCATGCAAATCATCTCTTACATCCTCATCTTCAAAGAATTACTGTTATAAACCTCCTGGTACCTAGTTCAGTTCTCTAACCATGCAGCCATCTCCTGTGATTTATCAAATGTTTATTCTAAGTCTACTTTCAATCAACATCTTATATAAAAATCCATTCTTTTGCTAGTTCAATTAAATCGCACAATTTCAAAAATAAATTTCAAAAATCCATCAGATTTTACAAAGTTTTACTTTGCTTAACGGATTTTCAAGGAATTTTTCTTTAATTTCAATTAAATTTACAAAGTTTTTTTTTATCAGAGCTGAAATTAAAATTCACACACTGATGAAAGAAATTACCGCTGCTAACATTCAGATCATAAGATGAGAATACATTTAAACGTGAGCAATACAAACTGGTTTGTTTCGACTTGTGTTCTAAAGTGTAAAATAGAATAACCTTCCGACAAATCAGGAGCTTATAGGAAATTTCTTCTAAAATCTTTTTGTATTACTATAGAAAAGATGTTTATATAATAATCAACAGTTAATAAATTCTTCTTTTGGAAGTGCCTAGATATTTAGAACATTTGGACAATTTTTACGCACTTTATGTCAAGAAAAGAAAACACTTCTACAAACACAATTTTTAAAAAATTGAATAATATCAGTATCTTGTCAGTTATCTTTAATAAAACTTATATAAAAGAGGGATTGCTGCCCAAATATATATATATATATATATATATATATTATTTTAGGATATTGCACTGAAAACAAGTCAAGATCACTATACAATTGCAGTCGTGTTTTGATGCGTATCCTAACACGTTTTAGGTGTAATATCCTAAATTAAATAATATTGCTCTACTTTGTATTGAGCACTCTTTTAAATTAAATGTTATGAACATTGGCATTGTATTCTATTCATTCTCATCATACCTGGATATATATATATATATATATATATATATATATATATATATATGTAAATCGATTCTCCCGTCGGGTTGGACGTATGAGGGTCAAGCAGATCAGTTTCCAGGAAACTGACAGCCCGACACCGGCACATGAGATTCGATTAAAGTGGTGAAGGTTTTGTGCAGGACCATCCACACTTTTTGAAGGGCTGAATACAAAGACATGGTGCACTACATGCCACAAGGTTCCCAAACGACCCTCCGCAGGTTTTGAATTCAGAGTTGTCCTTCTCCTAGACCAGTTGCCATCCAAGGCTATAGAACCTAGTCTGTCCTGCTATTTTACCCATAGCTGGAGGGAGAAGAAGAGGATTAGCACGTAAGTGAATGTAATGGATTCAACCTGGATTCGAACTCGACTCTGCGATTCCTCAATCTGAGCCAATATCCATTACTCCACCGTTCCTCCTCTATATATATATATATATATATATATATATATATATATATATATATATATATATATATATATATATATATATATCATAAAAAATTTTATTAAATTCAACTGACAATGTTTGTGTTTAATTTTTATCGTAATTTTATGATTTTTTGAATTAAGTGTTGCATATTGCCGTTAAAATTGTTGATGAACTGACCAAAGTTTGTTAAGTTGTTTTTGTTGAAGTACCTTTGACCATATCTGTCATTATCTAGAACCATGTGCTTTCAGATTGATTGGCTAAGTCTGTGTATTTTATAGAGGGCTGAAGTGATATGATTTTCAGTTTTTGTTTTTGCATTATCAAATATTTCATACACACTCAAACCTAAGAAAAAATTGAATAAAAAACTTAATTGCATTACTTTGTCAATAATCTTTAATAAAACCTGTATAAAAGAAGGGTTGCTGCTGAAATACACAATTATATATATATATATATATATATATATATATATAATGTGTGTATTTAGGCAGCATTGTTTCATTAATACATGTTTCATTAAATAATATAGACAAGTTTTGTCTATTTATTTTAAGTAAAATAACACCTGATAAGCTCAATATCATTATCATTGAAAGATGATAGAAAATCACCATGTTGATACATGTTTTATTTTTAATCCTTTCTAAGCTTTCGGCTTACATAAGCCATCATCAGAGATTAAAGTTGGTAATTTTTGCAATAATGAGAGTTTGTTTGCAGTAAAGATTGCTATGCAACAATAAATTTGTACATATGAAACACAGCAAATAAATATCACATTGCGGTTCATGACATCACACTTGACCATGTTAGAGTGAAAATGAAGAGAAGTGTTGAGTATGGAAATATACTATTATATTTTATATATATTGTATATATATGATAAAATATGGAAAAAGTTTGAGGGAATCTAAATAAAAGATTAAAGTTAGACTGATAGAACATTGTAAAGTGGTAACATTAGGAGAAATAGAAAAATCAGGCATAGCAGATCACGTATGGATGGAAATGGGTTGAAATAATAGACAGAGAACATCACTGGAAAATATGAAAACTTAAGAAATCAGCACATATGCTAGGCAACAAAAATTACCTGAGCCGACCAAGCATAGAAATAAATACAATATGGGAGCCAGTAATAAGGAGTGCTAGAGAAAAGCAATAACAACAAAAATTGCAATATAAGCTCTGGAAAAAAAATGTATCAGTAATGACAGAAACATTGCAATATGAGCACTGGAAAAAAAACTATTGCTGAGACATTTGGTTTATAAGTCCCAGAAATTCAAACACATTACAATAAAATTTGTATTTTATATGAATACTACCTTATGAAAGATTTGGAGGGGAGGTCTATATATATATATATATATATATATATATATATGTATAGTAGTAATACAATATGGTAATCCATATATTTATATATATATATATATATATATATATATAAAACCAGTATCGTACACGTAACCGTCATATAGCCTGACCATCTATACCATTTAGCAACAGAAGCGGTGTCTGGTAGCAAATGCAAATTACAGTTCTGTGTAGGATACAGGTTCGATTCCTGTTAAAGGACACATTATTTTCTATGAAATTTCTTGGACATTCAGGCTGGTAAATGTAGTTAATACTTTCTATTATTAACAGAGCATTTACTTAAATATTTGTATGTATAAAAATAATGTATAAACAGAAAATATATTAATATAATTGTCCATTTCATAATAGGAGATGTCATTTGTTTAAGTTAAGATATGCTTCGAGCAGATATGATCGTTCGAGAAAAATCATGGGAAATTTGTTGTTTAAAAACAGTAATTTGACTTTGCTAACCAGACGCTGCCTCTGTAGCTAAATGGTATAGCACGTCAGGCTATATGATGGTTCTGTCTATGATATAGGTTCGATTTATATTGGAGTATACATATTTTCTCTGAAGTCTCTCAAATATTCAGGCTGGTAAATGTAGTTATTATTGTTTATTATAAACAGAGCATTTACGTAAATATTTGTATCTATAAAAATAACATATAAATAGGAAATATATTAATATATATATACATATATATTTCTCTCTCTCTCTCTCTCTCTCAGGTAGAAATAAAAAACATTGCCTTTTATATCTGTTTAGCTAAAGGAAAATACAAATAGATTCTTCATTGTCCCATCTGTTTCTTGATAAAACAGTAATATAAACACCCAATAAGAATGTTTCATTTTTACCGATGGCTTCATTATTCCCCACTGTTGACGTACATTGTTGCTGGGGTAACATTAGAATTTGTTTAAGATACTTCTTTTTTTTTCTTTTTTTTTTTTTTTTATATATGCATATCTTTCCAAGTGCAACTATGTCTGAACTCAACTCTAGTTAAAAATTGGTTCAAAAATATTTTTTTGTCTCCAAAGACCAATGTGTAGCTAAAGAATTTGTAGTTTATATAACTTCACACACCTGCTGCTGTGAAGATATCAACTGTGCTTTCCGTCTGAAATTCTGTGATGAGGAATTATCATTATTTGTATTTCTATGTCTTTGTTGTTGTTATTTTTTTTTTTTAATACAATGTTTCAGCTGTTGTGAGCCCTCTGGCCTTCATCAGGTGTTTTTTCAATCCAGGTAATCTTCAGGGATTTTCA